ATATATATATATATATATATATATATATATATATATATATATATATATATATATATATATATATATATATATATATATATATATATATATATATATATATATATATTTACATATATATATATATGCACACATTTGCTTGCACACTGAGGTACAACAAATTACACTTCCTCAACAAGCTGAGATTCATTTACAAGCATCAATGCATGACTCGCTTCATAAATCAGGTAATAAACACATGCAGATAAAACAGACATACGTTTACCTAAAGGATCCTTGTTTGATATTACAGCACATTCAGCTACCCGAAGTAAAGCCAGCAGGAAAATGAGGACCAATCGACCCATATCTGAAAAAGACAGACAGAGAGAGTTAATACTGTTACTTAAGAAAAGAAAGTGTGTGTGTGTGTTTGTGTGTGTGTGTGTGTCAAACCGAAAATGACTACATTACTGAATTAGAAAGGTGATGGCAAATTTAATTTATGAAATGAAGAGAAAATACCATGGACAACATATTGGATATACAGTTGAAGTCAGGATTATTAGCCCTCCTGTTGATTTTTGACATTTCTTTGACACATTTCTAATCATAATAGTTTTAATAACTCATCTCTAATAACTGATTTATTTTATCTTTGCCATGATCACAGCAAATAATATTTGACTAGATAGTCTTCAGGACACGTCTGAACAGCTTAAAGTGACATTTAAAGGCTTAACTTAATTAGGCAAGTTAGGGTAACTAGGTTATTGTATATTGATGGTTTGTTCTGTAGACAATCCAAAACAAATATTGCTTAAGAGGGCTAATAATTTTGACCTTAAAATGGGTTTTAAAAATTAAAAACAGCTTTTATTCTAGTCGAAATAAAACAAATAAGACTTTCTCCAGAAGAAAAAATATCATAGGGAATACTGTGAAAAAATCCTGAATCCGTTCAACATCATTTAGGAAATATTTGAAAGAGAAAAATCAAAGAGGGGCTAATAACTCTGACTTCAACTGTAGATTAAGGCCCAATTCTACCCCTTACCCTTGGTGTCCCAATTCTCTTTAGCTTGAAGGCGTAGGGTTAAGGGGAAGGGCCAGGTACCCCATGAAACTGAGATTTTCAGGACCACACTCGAAACCAAGGGGTACGAAAAAATTCTCAGAATACACCATCTACAGCAGCAGTATTGCTGAACCCGAATGTCAGGAGATGCATAAATTAGTATTTTTTGTCATTATGACAAATTTTTTACAACAAACAAGCACATGTTATAATATATTCATAACCACGTTAGTGTTTTACCGTCATGCTTAAAAAAACAACGCTAAATTAAAATCTATAATCCATAATAATAACTCTTGTACAGCAGTCCCACAACATTCTGACACTCGATGATACTGGAATACCCTGTACGAAAAGTCTAATGGCTAGTAATGAGCTTTTACAGTGTCTGCTATAACGTTAATATTGTTTTGGTGTGTTTACGTTGATGAATATGGCCACTGTGTAAATGCGCAGTATAGTTATTATCTTATAGCCACAATAGATTGTTATGATGACATAATATATGCCTTCAGTGATTTCCTGAAGATAAAAACCAAAAAATAAAGCAGCCGGAATCACTACAGCAGTCGCCATCATCTGAGCTCAGGCGTCTCAGGAGGTTTTGAATGAGCCCCCAAATCCTCCGCTCGTTCTACACCTGCACTGTGGAGAGCATCCTGTATGGCTGTATCACGACCTGGTATAGAAATAGCACCAGCAGCAATCGCAAAGGCTTGATTGTGCGAACTGTGGGACGCTTAAAAGGAGGTGAGCTTCCCTCCCTCCAGGACATCTACACCAGGGGTCTGTTCTTCGTACCTCGCTTAAATTATCTAAGATGATTTGACAGATCCCGGATCTTTTAATCTTGATAACTGATCTCTCGCTTATTTGGTTCTTCAAACAAGTTCGCGAATCAGATTAGAATGTCTGGATGAACTGATCTGAGATCGATGCGTGTGTTGTGAAGGACAGATCTATCCATCCTCGAAATCATGATCAGCAAAGCAACAATTGGCTGACGGCACAGCAGCGTAATGACATCATCTGATTTATATTCAATTATCCATGTGAGCAAAATTACATCAAATTAGCAGTAAACGGCTTGTGAAATATGACACGCAATAACCTTCCACATTTGTTGTGAGCTGCAGGCTTTACACTTTCATGTGTCAAGTGTATTCATCATGTATTTCAATGCAAATCAGTGTATTTAGTTCCATATTTAGAGAAGATTTTCTTTATTATAGTAGCCGTTTTTTTTAATCGGTGTAAAGAATAACTGGTTGTTTACAAAAGCATTTTCATATTGGTAAAGGCGTCTGCAACTTTTGTGAAGCATCAAATCACCGTCATATTAACTGTCAAAACATGTTTATGACTGCATAAATGTATTATTGCTTTAAAAAAAGTCACATATTGTGCATGTTTATTATACACAATTTGTACTAAAGCGATCTAAAAAGTTCATTTCAATAAGTTTTCTCTTTGCACCACCAGGTGGCAGTCTTTGTACTTTCATTTTGAGGGTGCAGATTGCATAAGTTTTATTAATATGTATAACTTTATTTATTTTATTAATGACTATAACTTTATATATATAGTTAAAAAATGTGTATATAACTACTACTGTAAAAAAAAAATCAGAATTCAGAACATACTTTCAGTATTATCTTTGCTTGAACTGAGCCGATCTAATCCTGTTTATATGAATTGAACCTGCTCCCGATCAGGTTTGACCTAGCAGAACTGTTGCTATGACAACAACTCTCGGATCAGCTTTGAAGAACGAAACGATCCTGGATCGTGTCAAATCGTCAACGTCCAAATCCAGCTAACTGAGTAATCCACGTACGAAGAACGCACCCCAGGCGGTGCATGAGTAAAGCCAAGAGAATTATCAGTGACTCCAGCCACCCAAGCTATAGACTTTTCTCTCTGCTATCCTCAAGCAGACGATTCCGATCACGCACCAGCCGGCTGAAGGAAAGCTTCTTCCCTCAGACTATCAGGCTGATGAACACTTTACACACCTCACACAGACTCTTCCATACCCCTCACTGCACACCATCAATATGTAGCATGCACTGCACTTTAACCAATCCATACTTGAAACAATAATTCATTGCACATATCGTTATCAATTTTACATTGTCGTTGTATTTGCACTGTCTGTATTTTGCACTGTCTTTGTTATTTGCACTGTCTGTATTTTGTACTGTTTGGAGCCAGCACCTAAGCCTTTCACTCATCATAGCACACGTGCTGCTGATGATGTGACCATAAAAGTGATTTGATTTGATCTCATATAAAGCAAGAGATCGCGATGACATATGATGACGTGTGCAGGTGCTGTAGTGCTGTCCCAATTCTTAGGGGTAACTTTTCAAGGGGAAAGTGTAGGGGTACAAAAATAGAACAGTGATTGAGCCTAAAATGGTCTATGATAATGCATTAAAAATGTATATAACAATTTTTTGAATCATTAATAAATATTTAAGATAACACGATTGTTGTTTAATTTTTGCATAAATAAAAAAGGAACCTTTTTTTACTCCTATTTATACATTTTACTGTAACTAAACAGAATACAAAATTATATTTTATATTTATGAAATGCAAAGAAATATAAGGTATTTCTATTTGAAATGCTCTATTAATATTTAACATACTTTTTTGTATGATCTCCAACTATTTTATATATATTTATGCATATATTTATACATTCATGTTGCCTAATTTTTCTATGAATTATTGATGGACCATTATTTTCCTCCATATTTTGACATTTTATTTTCACAATTATTGTAAAACATCTGACTCTTCACTTGCATTTAATATGATTTCTATGTATATAAAATCACATTTGTAAATTAAATTTGATAAACACACTGAACATGGATTTTTATAATTCTTATCTCCAGACATGCAATAAAACTGTGTATATTCATACTGAGGTTTTCAATCACCCGGTACAAAATACATAAACAATATCAGAACACTTTTTATGTCCTCTTCAGCTTTTATGATGCTGTTAGTCATGCTTGATGAACTTTGAACCTCGTGTTTACTGGAAATGATCAGCATTTGAAAGAAACTCAAAGGTCAAATCTGGGAAAAAACTAAATGTTTATATGATATTTGCTCGCTAGGTTTATAAAATGCACTATATATTGTCTATAAAAGTTGGCAAACATGAAGCAGAGATGCAGAGATGTTGAAATGAAATGTACACTTGTTTTACAGTACATTTTATTACATAAAACAAATATTATGGATATAAATACACCTGGAAAAATGCTTGTCGTCAATCCCAGTTGTAAGAGCAACAAATAATAACTTGACTTCTAGATGATCATTTGGAAAAGTAGCAGAAGGTGGATTTTTCTGATCTTGAACTTCATCCCAATCATCACAAATACTGCAGAAGACCTACTGGGACCCGCATCGACCCAAGATTCTCACAGAAATCAGTCAAGTTTGGTGAAGGAAAAATTATGAATTGGGCTTACATTCAGTACGGGGGTGTTGCAAGAGATCTGCAACATCAACAGCCTGAGGTATCAAGACATTTGTGCTGCCCATTACATTGCAAACCATAGAAGAGGGACAATTCTCCAGCAGGATAGCGCTCCTCATACTTCAGCCTCCACATCAAAGCTCCTGAAAGCAAAGCAGGTCAAGGTGCTCCAGGATTGGTCAGTCCAGTCACCAGACATAAACATTATTGAGCATGTCTGGGGTAAGATGGAGGAGGCGTTGAAGATGAACCCAAAGAGTCTTGATGAACTCTGGGAGTCCTACAGGAACGCTTTCTTTGCCATTCCAGAAGACTTTATTAATCAGTGATGTGAGTCATGTCAGAGATGTATGGATGCAGTCCTCCAAGCTCATGATGGAGTCAGACACAATATTCATTCTGTCTCCACTGCAGCAGGACTTTATATTCTATACTAGGGATGTAACGGTATTGTAAATACCGTCATACCGCAATATTAATTTTTTTCGATATTACCGTAGTCGCATGACTTGGTAAAACTATAGGTCTTCTGAGAAAATTTGCTCAGGCGAATGAAGCGAACGGGAGGTAGCGGAAACTACAATTCCCATCAGCCCATGCGTGGCCATCATCCCTTGCGATCTGTTGTCGCTACAGATCCAGTAATGCGGAAATGGAGTGTGCTGCTAGAAGCGGGGATGAAAAAGAGCTGGAAAACCCTAAAGCGGGTGTTGTCGCCGCGCGCGTACTGAATAGCGGTGTTGTCGCACGAGTTCTTATCAGCTGTGTTGTCGCGCGCGTACTGAATAGC